CGTCTCATCTCCTGGTATTCCAGTGATGATTCCAGCGCTGTAGGCTTTTCATTCCTTTTCATTCTTTTTTCTGGTTGCTTCTATGTCTGGATAATTTCAAATGATCTGTCTTCAAGCTCTTCCCCTGCTCGATCCGGTCTGTTGTTGAAGCTCTGCCTAAATTCTTCCGTTCAATCATTACATTCTTCAGCTCCAGAATTTGGTTCTTTTTTGTTTTCTCTTTGTTGAACTTTTAATTTCGTTCTTATGGTACTGTTCTCCTGGTTTTGTTAAATTGTTCTGTGTTCTCTTGTAGCTCTCTGAGTATTTTTAAAACAATTATTTGAATTCTTTTTCGGGCAACTCATGAATCTGTTTCTTTGGAGAGAGTTACTGGAAGTTTACTGTGTTCCTTTGGTGGTGTCATGATTCCCTGATTCTTTGTGATTCCTGAAGCCTTGCATAGGGGTCTGTGCATTAGAAGCAGCAGTCACCTCTTCCAGACTTTATGGACTGCCTTTGGCAAGCAAAGACTCCAGCCTTAGGTGGGGGCATGCTGGAGCACGCTGTGACCCAGGCCTGGTGGTGCTGGGTACCAAGAGCAGGGGCGTGTGGTGGTCTGGGGTGGGAGGGATGACGTGTCATTGGCTCAGGCCACTGAGGTTCACAGTATCAACTGTGTGGTTCTTGGCAAGCATTGTGGGGGGGTTCTCCAGTGGCTGCAAGAGCTGGTGGGCTCCTCGGTGGCACCTCCAGGTCCAGTGGCTGGAGACCAGGGCAGGAAGCAGTGATGGCCAGCGCCGGTGATGTGCGCACAATCGGCTGTGGAGGCCAGCTGCAGGAGCCTGTGTCGTGGCTGTGGCTAGCTGCAGACAGGCACAGTGGTGGGGGACGGGGCCAGCAGCAGGGGCCTCAGCCATGTGTGGCTCACAGTGGCTGGGGGGCCCTAGCTGTTGGTTTGCTCTCCCAGGGCTGCAGAATCTCCCCACAGGCTTGTACACAGCAGTGGAGGCTGGTGACGGGGATTGGTCTGGGTGCACAGCTTGGGGGCTGGCTACAACTGAGCCCAGTGGGGGCTGTGGCTTCAGCGTGCACTCCCATGGCCGTGAGGAGCCAGGCTGGTAGCCTGCAATAACACAGCTGGAAGGGGCTGGCCACACGTGTGCACATAGCGGGGGGGGGGTCAGTCATGGGGGCTGAGGCTGGCATATTGCAGTGTGTGGCTGCAGAGGCCTGGGCAGGCTGCCGGTGAAGATCGGGGCTCTGGTGAGGACAGGGGGAGGGTGGGAGGGACTCAGGCATCTGGAGCCTGCGAATGGGAATACCAGGGGGGAGGGGGAGGGAAAACTAGTGAAAGCTGCTGGGCTCCTTGGCAGAGCTCCGTCCCTTCTTCCTTGTTCCCAGCTTGTTGTCAGCTTTGCTGGTCTCCGGCTGGGGTGAAACTGAAGCGGGTCGTCAGCGCAGAGCCCTGCAAGGCTGGGGCAGCTGGTCACTCATCCCCATCTCCCTTTCCAATTTCTTTTAGTGGGGGAGTTCCCTCGTGGTGCTGAGCAGTGCCAGCCCGGGGGATGGAATGACGCAGGCAGCACGAAGCTGTTCTTGCTTCCCTTTCTGTGTGATCACTCTTGGGTTTCTGGTCCACTGTGCTGCCCAAGTGTCCTAAGTGGGCTCCTGAGCTCTCCCAGAGATGTGTCTCTTTGCAGATAGGCTGTCGATCTTTGTTGAGGGGGATGAAGGCTGGTGTCTTCCACCTTGCCATCTTGGGGATGTTGCTTGAAAATGGGCTCTTGGAGTTAGGAAAGGGCTGAGCAAGACCATATGACCACCCCCTGGGAGATTTTGCAAAACAGGCATCTTGCAGTGGACAGGCTTATCTCCAGGTACTTTGGAAAGACCTGGGGACACAACTGACTCTGATCATCTGTCCTTCCCACAAGCCCTGGAGTCCTTTCCACGTGTCAGGCACTGGGCAAGCAGAAGGCAGCCCTTCCCTACAGGGAAGTCTTAGCCCAGGACAGAAGACAAACAAAGACAATATATAGATCAATGTGATCAGAACCAAAAGAAAGGTTAGGACAGCACAAGGCTGGAGGGCTGTGTGTGTCTGTGTATGTCAGGGTGGGAGGGGGTCACTGAAGGCTCCCAGCGGACAGGTTTTATGCTGCTCCCTACAGGACCAGGGGCTGCAGCCTGGCAGACTTGGAGAGCCGGGAGGGTGCACTGCAGGTGAGGGAAACAAAACACAGTCCACGCAAAGGCTCAGAAGCGATGAGATAGCAAGGGGCATTCAGAGAAACGCGGGAGTGACTGGTAAAAGCACCATTTTCCTCAGGAACTAGGCACAGCATGAGGGCATGTGACATTCGCTTGTGGCCAGAGAAACCAACATGATGACTCTTCTGGACAGGAACGTGATGTGGCGGACTTACCCTGAATTAATCACAACATTCCCTATTCAGTGTAAGCGGATTTAAGGGCTCCCCACCCAACACACAGAAACTAGCGTTTTACTCTCACACAGAGGTAGCTGGTCCTTAAATACGTGGTGAACCTAATGGTCTCTATGGTACTTTGGACTATCAAATACTTGGAAATTTAGTGTTTGTTTTCTTTAAAATGCTAGTTTCCTTTAAAATGAAATTTACACAAGACATCAAGACGTTAGAGAAAGGTGCCTTCAGAGCACAGGCTCATCTCCTTTCCAGTCACTTCCCACAGGTCCAGGAGCACACGCTGAGACTACTGCAGGCTGAGCCTGCCTCATACTCGGTTGGTGTTCGGAGATGCATGGGTCAAAGTTAAATACATTCTTCATACAGGCATGTTGAGATCATTGAAACCGAGTGCACCCATGTTACCGCACCGGTGGGGGTGACACCGAGCACACCTAACCGTCAGTGGGACACTGGCTGTGGATCGCAGGCTGGCTGCCCTGGTGTCCCTGCTGCAGGTACCACCGTCCCCTGCACCAGGGCACAGAACTTCTGGTACAGTTAGCCACATACTGGGAAATCATTTTTCATAATACTGTATGAGAGCTGTGCATTTTTCTTTTTCTTTTTTTTTTGATGGAGGTACTGGGGACTGAACCCAGGACTTCGTGCATGCTAAGCATGCGCTCTACCACTTGAGCTACACCCTCCCCCTGCGTTTTGTTTTTTCAGTACATGCCAGAAAAACCTTATATAATTGCAAGAACAACAACAAAAAAGAACATTCTTGGCTTGTAATAATATCTTTTAAGAAGTTCCCAATGGTATGTCGATTATATAAAATTAAAAAAATATATGCTTGTCAGAGATGCACACTGAACTATTTTTGGGTGAAATGACAGATGTTTTGGATGCTTTCAAATACTACAGCGTAATACAAGTGGAGCAAAGGTAGATTAAAACAAGATTGGCACACTGTAGACATTGTGGACGCTAACTGATACAGGGGTTCTGTGTGTTCTTTTCTCCATACTTGTGTATGTTTGAAAACTCCATACTAAAAAAAAAAAAAAGAAAAGAATTTAAATGCTATTTTAAAAGAAAAAACAAAGTTTCCCTAATCACATTACTTTCTGGCATTAAGCAGTGCTTTCCAACCTTAGAGGGCGATGGCTCAGTCACCCCTCTTCCTGATCTGGCAACTTGAGTGTTCCCAGATAAATAACTCTCCCTAAAATTCTAAAAACTCCTTCAAGTTAATACAATCAGGATGTAACCAAGCAACAACTGGGACAAACTCAGACTGTATGCATGTGAATAGGTAGGTTGATGAGAAATCACTTAATAACCAGAGCAAAACCATTATTTAAAATTGACAGGTGTTTTAAAGCCCCTCCAATTTTCCCCTCCAGAAAAAGGAAGAAAAGCACAAATTTGACAGAAAATGAAGAACCATGTGCTGTGTCACAGTATGAATTACAAATCATTTAAGTCACTAATTTTAGCATCAGATTCTTCACCCTGAAAAATGTTGATCTGCTAGGAGTCAATGTTCTTAAAAGATTTCAGAACCTCTTACATAAGTCACAAGTAATGTGTTTCCAATAAAACCATTATAGTTTCCCAAATTGTGATGTTTTTCTTTTCACTTAAACGCTGGACTGTGAAAGAATAAATTGCCACCTCAAGTCTAAATGCAGTCTAGAATCTCTTTTTAGGAAGACTGAAAAATGCCCTTCTAGAAATGCAAGTTAAGAGCATCCTGAAAACGTACTAAGTTGTGGGAAATGGACACAGAACGTTTGCTACTAGAGATGTCTGGTCTCTGGCTCTGGCTCCCGCACAAAGCTCCTAACAACCTTGGAATTTCCTTGAGTGATGATTTCCTCTTAAGTAGAATTTATACTAATGAGTTGATTTCTGGAAAGCCTCCGGGTGTGAGAAAGGTCACTAGAAAGGTCAAAGGATTAGAGGGTGAGAACTGACCTCAGGGGAGAAGATTAAGCTCTAGAAAAATTCTTCAACGGCAAGATTTGACAAGCTTCTGAGCTTCTGGGTTGGTAAAGAGGAACACGTCGTGTGCTGGGAGTGTGGCGCATCCCCAGTTCCATGTGCTCCTGTGCTCAGGACCCTTCCAGACCTGGCCCTTTGTATCTCTTCATCTGGCTGTTCATTTGTACCCTTTATCATCCTTTGTAATAAGCCAGTAATCTCGTAAGTAAATTGTTTCTCTTTGTTCTGTGAGCTGCTCTAGCAAGTGAATTGAACCCAAGTATGGGCTCATGGAAATGTCTGATCTACAGCTGGTTGGTCAGAAGCACGGCTGACAACCTGGACTCGTGATTGGCATCTGAAATGTGTGTGTCTGGCAGTGGGGGTGGGGGTGGAGGGGGTGCAGATTTAGCCCGTAACCTGCGGGAGCTGATGCCATCTCCAGGTAGACCGTGTCAGAAGAGGGCCGCAGAACACCCCTCTGGTGTCTGAAGAATCAGAGAATGGCTGGCGGTGGTGGAAAACACCCCAGGGGCCAATACCACGTGATGTCCCCTCTTCCATTTTCCCTGAAGGCCTTTATAAGAACCACCATGGTTTGGTTCTCTAGCAACTTTTATTGGTCAAGGGGTATGGAATTATATGCAGTACCCGTGGTTTCATTAACAGGCTCGTTTATAAACCAACTTAACATTTATCTTATTTAAAACTTGTTTGCTTTTGAATAAACTGATATGGTCGAGTGGGCATGCTCCTAACCCGTGCAAAAAGCTGTTCGAAACTGAGCGGCTTGCAGACCTACTGTCAATGAGACACTGAATGAAACGTTCTCCCAGTGAGGTCCAAAAAGTAGTTCGGTCTGAGAACCCGCTTCATATTCTAACTTCTCCAAATCCAATACTCAAGACAGAAGAAAAGCAAAATTAAAATACCTAACAGGACAACATTCTGATGCTTTTATCCAAGTCACTTCCTGGAGTCTACGTGCCGCTGTGCTCTGTTGATTAAAATAACAAATTAAAGCAACAGGCAGCTTCTAATGAAAAGGTAATGGAATTTATGCAGTTAAGGAGTCACAGTGGAAGAACATATAAAAGGTGAAGAATGCTTTTAACCTTTCAGCTTTAAATAGTACTGTATTTTAACTTTAAAGAAAAGTGCTATTACATATTTTTTGCATTAACATTTTAAAACATTAGAACAAGTCTTTGTAATACAATATATATTAGACTTCAATATACCTCACGTGAATTAAAAACAGGTCGACTTGGTAACTGTAGTAAGGCATTTAAGTACTCAGCAACAGCTATACAGAATTCCTCAGTGGTATCCCTTTGATATTAACTTGACTTAGTGGGTTTCCTTAAAATGAACACAAAACGATGAAAGACTGAAAAAGAGGCAGTGATGCTCTAATACTGGATCCCAGGAAAAGCACAGTGGCCAACAACGTGTTTTCCGACAGGGAGCCCATACAGCTCAGCAAGCCGGGAACAGGCCAGCAGCTCCCAGTGGCGTGGTTTATCTACTGCATTTACCAGCCACTGAGAGTAGCGGCGGCTGCCTCGTAAGCTTGGTTAAAGGTACCGAGTCCTCGCTGCTGATCATGGCGCCTAAGACAGAGCAGGTACCCAGCTGGACTTCCTGACCTGATATGGATGAAGATGCCTTAAACTCAGGAGAATGTAAGGCTCATGGGAAAACTCCATGCTTCATTTTATTTCAGCCTGTGAGTAACTACCAATCTAATATTTCAAGTGTAGCTCACGTAAACGCCTTGTGGACTGTGGTCAACGGAATTAACTAAGCACTGCACTGGCTACCAGTTGCCAGTTTCTGAGTATCAGGTTACAAATAGAACCAACTGTGCAATATAATCGACTTGATGATCAAAGCACACCTCACAGTTAACAGATTTTAGTTCATATGATTAAAAAAAATAAAATATTAGACTGCATCAATGCAACTTTTATCATATCATACATCAGAAACCATGCTGTGGAGACATACTGGACTAGCATATATACAGTACAGAGCCAGGAGTCAAACCAAAGGTGGAGGGGAGAATACAGAACAGAACATTTTTACATACATGTACACACTTCATGGTCTTGTCCAGTGACCTGGATTTATTATACGGTTTGCTGTACCACATCTACTAGCTTGCATAACACCCCAAATGATTTTTTTCGCACAAAGATCTACTTCTGTATAAAGTAGAAAAAGATGGTGGTAAAAAACTTCATCTTCAAGCTCCAACAATTGTGTCCCAAATACCGCTGTCTGAACGCCTAAAAAATATTAAGAATAATTTAGAAATATGCATGACAATAAATGTACAAGCAAACACAGCTTATAGTAACAAAGGGAATTCATCAGTGACTGCTGCCAGCTTTTATTTAAACTTACCTATGCCTGTTAGATGATGTTGACCACACATACAAGGTCCACTGTGGTAAACGGGGAAAAGGAGGCAGCTTTACAAAGTTAAAATCTCCATCTGCAATTTTTATAAGTGAGCCTGAGCTACAGGCACATTCGTTTAGACTTCAGTTAACGCAAGGAAGACTCCTCACTTCCATTAAGGCAGAAGAGCCAGAGGAATGTCTGACTCAGCCACTCCCATCAGCTACCGCCTCTCCCTTCTTTCAGAGCAAGAACATAAGGATTTCCTATAAATAGTCCAAGCAAAGTATCTAACTGCCTTTTTAACTGGCGAGGCTGGGTTTAATCCAGCATTTTGCTTACTGTTTTGTATTTTTCCCACCTGTTCTTTAAGCTTTCCCCCCTCTCTTTTTCTGCCTACTTTTGAATTATTTAGATTAATCAGGTGTTTATTCCATTTTAATTCCCATGTTGGCTTAACAGCCCAAACTCTCTGTTGTGTGATTTCACTGGTTGCTTTAGGATTTTTTTTTTTAAGAGTATTTTAGGTTCAAAGCAAAATTGAGGCTGGAAAAGCACATAGATTTCCCATGTACCCCCTCCCCTCACACATAAGTAGCTTCCCCTATTATCAAGAACCCCACCAGACTGATGTGTTTGTTACAGGCGATGGACCTACACTGATGCACCATGATCACCCCAAATCCATAGCTGAATTACAGTTCACTCTTGGTGTTGGATGTCCATGGGTTTGGACAAACGTGTGATGACACATATCCATCATTACAGTATTATACAGAGTACTTTCACTGTCCCCCAAATCCTCTGTGCTCTGCCTACTCACCCCTCCCATCCCCAACCCCTGGCACTTCTGGTCCTTTCACTTTCTCTATAGTTTTGCCTTTTCCCATGTCATACGGTTGGAATCGTACAGTATGTAGCCTTCTCAGGTTGGCTTCTTTTTTTTTTTTTCCCTGTTGTTTTATTTATTTATTTTTTTTACATTTTTTATTGATTCATAATCATTTTACAGTGTTGTGTCAAATTCCAGTGTTCAGCACAATTTTTCAGTCATTCCAGGTTGGCTTCTTTATCTTAGTAACATGTACTGATGGTTCCTCCATGTCTTTTCATGGCGTGATACCTCATTTCTCTCTAGTGCTGGAAAATACCCCATTCTCTGGATGTACCACAGTTTATTCATTTGCCTTCTGAGGACATCCTGGTTGCTTGCAAGTTTTGGCAATTACGAATACTGCTGTAAACATCTGTGTGCAGGTTTTTGGGTGGACGTAAGTTTTCAGCTCCTCTGGGTCAATACCAAGGAGTGAAACTACTGGCTCATACAGTAGGGATATGTTTAGTTTTATAAGAAAATGCCCAACTGTCTTCCAAAGTGTCTGTACCATTTTGCATTCCCACCAGCAGTGAACGAGAATTCTCGCTGCTCCACGTTGTCACCAGCATTTGGTGTTGGCAGTGTACTGGATTCGGGCCATTCTAATAGGTTTGAAGTGGGATCTCATTGTTTTAATTTGCTTTTTCTTTGGTGACATATGATGTGGACCCTCCTTTCAGACATTTGTTGTCATCTGGGTATCTTCTTCGGTGAGGGTCTGTTAAGATCTTTAGCCCATCTTTAAACTGGGTTGTTTGTTTTCTTACTGTCGAGTTTTAAGAGTTCCCCGTATATTTCGGATAGCAGTCCTTTATCAGGTATGTCTTTTGCAAATATTTTCTCCTCGTCTGTAGCTTGTCTTCTAACTCTCTTGACACTGTCTTTTGCAGAGCAGAAGTTTTTACTTTCCATGAAGTCTAGCTTATCAGTTATTTATTTCACGGATCGTGTCTTTAGTGTTGTATCTAAGAAGTCCGCACCATACCCAAGGTCACCTACATTTTGTCCTATTTTATCTTCTAGGAGTTTTGTATTTTACATTTAGGTCTATGATCCATCCTGAGTTATTTTTGTGAAGGATATAAGGTCTGGTGTATATATATTTATTTTTTTTGGTGTATGACTTGTTTTAGCACCATTTATTAAGAAGACTATTTTTGCTCCATTGTATGCCGTTGCCCCTTTATCAAACATCAGCTGGCCGCGTGCGTGTGGGTGTACCTCTGGGCCCTCTGTGCCGTTCCACTGAGCTACGCATCTGTTACTTCACCAACACCGCACCGCCTTGATTACTGCAGCTTTACAGTGTGCTACAGTTGCGTAGTGACGGTCCTTTGACGTTGTTCTAACACTGTGTTGGCTATTCTGGTTCTTTTGCCTCCTCTCCACATAAACTTTAGAATCAGTTTGGTTTTCCTCATATATTGTCAGAGTCCTACCTAAGTATTTCCTTTCTGGGGGGTGCTAATGTAAATGATACTGTGTTTTTAATTTCAAATTGCACTTGTTCATTGCTGGTATATAGAAAAGCAATGAGCTTTTATATATTAGCTTTGAATCCTGCAAGTGTGCTAAATAATCACTTACATAGGAGTCTGTGGATTCTTTAGGATTTTCTGCATAGATACTCATGTCATCTGCAACAAAGTTAATTTCTTCCTTCCCAATCTGCATACTTTTTATTTTCTTTTCTCATTGCAATGGCTAGAACTTCCAGTATGATTTTCAAGAGAAATAGTGAGAGGGGACATCCTTGCCTTGTACCTGACATTAATAGGCAAGCGTCCACATTCTCACCAGTAAGTATGATGTTAGCAGTAGGTTTTTTGTTTGTCGAGTTGGACAGATTCTCCTCTGTTCCTAGTTTACTGAGAGTTTTCATCATGAATGGATGTGGGATTTTGCCCAATGACTTTTCTGCATCTCTTGATGTAACCATGTGGTTTTTGTTCTTGAACCTGTTGATGTGGTGAATCACACTAAGTGATTCTGGAATGCTGAACCAGCCTTCCACACCTGGGACAAATCCCCCTTGGGAGTGGTATGTAATTCTTTGTGTACATTGTTGGAGTCAACCTAGTATCTTGTTGAAGATTTCTGCACCTATGTTCATGGGAGATACTGGCGTGAAGTTTTCTTTTCTCGTACTGTCTTGGCCTGGTTTGGGAATGAAGGTGATTCTGGGCTCACAGAGTGAGTTAGGGAGAACCTGGCTCCCTGTGCTGCTTTCATTCTGTGAAAGAGATGGCAGAAAATGGGTGTACTTTCTTCCTTCAGTGCTTGATAGAGCTCGCCAGTGGCCCACGTGGGCCTGGCGCTTCCCGTTCCGGGGGGTCATTAATTACCGGCCCACTCTCTTTAATAGATAGAGGCCTATTCACCTTGTCTGCTTCGTCTTGTGTGAGTTTTGGCAAATTGTGTCTTTGAAGGGTTGGGCACAGAGTTATTCACAGTAGTCCTTTCCTTTCCTTTTAATGTTCATAGAATCTGCTGTGATGTCCCCTCTTTCATTTCTGATATTAGTAATTTATCTCTTTTTTTCCTTAGCCTGGCTAGAGTCTTATTGATTTTATTGGTCTTTTTGAAAGAACCAGCTCTGGTTTTATTGATTTTTCTCTATTGATCTCCTGGTTTTAATTTCATTCATTAAAAAAAATTCTATGTATTTATTATTGTATTATTTAATTATTTTATTTTGGCCGGGGGGAGGGCATTAGGTTTACTTATTCTTAGAGCAGGTACTGGGGACTGACCCCAGGCCCTCCTGCGTGCTAAGCATGTGCTCTACCCTCCCCCAATTGAGCTACACCCTCCCCCAATTTCATTCATTTCTAATTCTTACTATTTCTTTTCTTCTGCCTATTTTGGATTTAATTTGCTCTTCTTTTTCTGGTTTTCTGTGGTGGACACTTAGATGATTACATTTAGATTTTTCTTCTTTTCTAATATATGCATTCAATGATATATATTTCATGCTAAGCACTGTTTCTGTTGAATTCGCCCCAAATTTCGATAAGTTGTGTTTTTTCCTTTCATTCAAAATATTCTCTTATCGCTACTGAGATTTTTTCTTTGACCACTGTTATTAAGAAGTGTGTTGTTTAATCCTCACATATTTTGGATTTTCCAGTTATCTGTTGCTGATTTCTAGTTTAATACCACTGTGGTCTGAGAGCAGACACTGTATGATGTCTATTCTTTTAAATTTGTTCTGGTGTGTTTTATGGCCCAGACGGTGGTCTATTTCAGTAAGGATTCCACGTGAACGTGAGAAGAATGTGTAGTTTGCTGTTAAGAATATCTAACTTTTAAGTATACAGTCCCCTCTCCTTTCCATAATGTAGCTGCAAAAAGCAATGGCAACCCACACGGTTAAAGCCGCGGATCTCCAGGCGGTGACCAGAGCGCGAGGCCGGGGGCAGCAGGGACTCTGCGAGGTGGCACCTACCTGGCGCTCCTGCGCTGCTTCAACAGCCGCACTCCTGAGCGCTCGGGGCCTGTGCGCGGCGCGGGGACCGAAGCTGCCTCAAGGCCGCATCTCCGTACTGGATACCTGAGCCCATTCGTTCTGGGTCCAGCTCACCTGAGGACCAAGCAAGTCTTTAGAAAAAGTTTTCATGTTTCTGTGAGCCCCAAAACACATTCAGTGAAAAAAGCAAAGTGCAGAACACTGCGTACAGACACCACAATTTTGCATAAAGAGGAAAAAAATATACACGTTTGCTTGTGAGGGCATAAACACATCTTTGGAAGGATACATAGAGAACTGATAATTATGGCTGACTTCAAGAAAGAGTTCTAGATGGCTTAGGGGACAGGAGACGGGGGGATGGAGGGTGCGTTTCACTGTATCCTCTTCTGTACTTTCTGAACTTGGAATTATGTGAACATATTAAGTATAAAGATTAATTTAAGAATTAAACCACAAAAATACCATTTTTCACTTATGAGACTGGTAGAAACCAGAGTATGATAACAAACCCCGAAGGTGTGGCTTCAGTGAAATAAACACCTTCGTTCATTACCAGTGGGGCGATAAACTGCTACAGTCCTGATCGGAGGAATCTGACGGGCTCTACCTAGATTCCAAATGCTTATGTTCTTTGACTCAGCAATTCCATTTCTGGGAATTTACCCTACACACACAGTCACATGCAGGTGAAATGATACATAAAAAAGGTCATTTACTGCCATGTTGTTTGCGACAGCAAAACACTGGCAACAACCCAAATGTCCAAAGCAGACTGCTTAAATACATTATGGCACTACACACAACTGAAGAGTACACACACGCTGTGTATATGTGTGTGTCAGCATGTATCTGTGGATGGAAGTCTCTGCATACTGATTTGTAATGATCGGTATGTATAGTAAATGCAGAATTTATAGTATGCTAACTTTTGTTTAAAAAAAGGGGAGAAAAAGCAATGGTTTTTGAATCATATGAATATACTGCCTATTTAGAAATTTAAAATTAAAAAGTACTGCTGAAGAATTCTAATTTATATTCTTACAGTTTTTCACCAGATGTCATTATGATTTTGATGACGTCAGAAGAAAAAGATCTTGAACGTTTTGTGTGAGTTCACTTCCATGCATGATTTTCACAGATGCAATATTCAAGTAGGAAGGTCATTTAAATGAAACCTCATGTTGAGCTTAATACTACTCAAGACCTTGCCAATTTTAATGATAACCATTTATGCTAGAGTCTTTAAAAATCAGTGTTGTACCAAGCTGAGTAGATTTTTTATTGTTGTCTTCAGATCAAAAGAGCACAGAGGGATGCAGAGTCCCTCCTCCTGCAGAGACCAGCCCTCTGGGCCTGAGGCTCTCCCGGGTACCTCTCCCGGCTCCCACTTCTGTCAGCCCCCCTCCCGCCCTTCCCTCCTTTCCCTGCCTCTCTTCTCTCCCAGCATCTTCATAACTTCTTCCCTTACTGGAATCTCTCACTTTCAGTTAACCGCCTGCACCCTCATCCTCCAGGGTGGGGCCAATACTTCCTGCCTCCTCACCTCCTCCTTGCACTCAGTTGCTCTCTGTCCTCTACCTTCATCTTTCTGCTGGCAAAGATGACCAGTGGCCTCCTCCTGCCCACCCCAAGGGATATTTTTCAGCTCAGGTCTTAGCTGATGAGACTTTATTGCATGTGGTAACGAACGATCCTTTGGCTCAAGTTCGGCTAAAGTGACAGCCACCTTCCTGGCTCTCGTCACACATCTCTGGCCTCTTCCATCCTTCTCTCCTTTATCCTCAGTCTCCAGGGTCTCGCTCTGGGTCACCGCTCTTCTGTCTCCACTGCTCTCTGGGTGACCACATTCCTCCCAGAGTCTCAACTAGTCCCATATATTGATGGCTCCCAAATGGGTACCGGCAGCCCGGAATTCTCCCCAAAGCTGACCAGACACCTCCACGTGTTTGTTCCAGTGAGATCACCAAGGGAACACGCCCCACACAGAACCACCTTTATTCCCTGGAACTGGCTTATCCTCTGGCTTCACTCTCTCTTTACTGAGTTACTCAAATGTGACCTCAAGTGTGGCTCCTCCTCCCTTCCTGCCCCCACTTCTCTCTCCTCCCCAAGGTCAACTGCCTTGCTTTGCTGTTTACTGACCATCATGATGCCCCCGCCAAAATTCTTCCTACATCCATCTGTATCTCCTCATCTCTACTTCCACATCCTTGTCAAGGCTTTCATTGGTCATCGGTTTTTGGAGTTCTCAAACACACCCTCATCGGTACCCTGGCCGTCAGCCCTGTTATTCCTTCAGTCTGTCCTTGACAGAACCGCCTACTGCGATCTGTCTCCAGTCACACCCTGACCACGTCACTCGCTGCCAACCACCCCTGGGGCTTCCCGCCCCCACAGCAGGGGCTCTCAGGCTTCGATGGACACCAGGATCAGTCACATGAGAAAGCTTTTAAAGATGCTGATGCCTTGGCCATACGTCAGCCCAATTAACTCAGCATCTCGGGAAGTGGGCCCTGGAATTCAAATTTTCATGCACCCCAGTGACTCTAGCGTTTGGCCAGGGTGGAGAGTCAGTTGCCCACAAGGTCAAGTTCCAGACCCCGGGTCACTATCACTGGCCTGGCTGCTGCCTCTCTCCGATCCTCCTTCCCACCATTCCCCGCCGAGTCCTTCTGTTCTAGCTACTTCAACTTTTCTCCCAATCTCAACTCATGCTGGGCCCTCTGGGGTCTAACCCTCCTCCTCACCCCCTTGCCTGGCCCCTCCTCACATTTCGAAAGCCCGAGCTCAGTCACCACCTCCTTCCGGAAGCCCCTCCTGACACCATCTCCTGGACAGGCAGGTTCCTCGTCCTTGTGTGACCCCAGATCCCGCACACTGCTCAATTTTCGTATCAACCACACGGTATTAGAATTATCTTTTGATGGTTTCCCATGAAAGACAGTTTCTTGAGGGCAAGGATTGTGATTAATTCATTTTTGTATCCCTGGACCTGATAAAGAATAGGCATTCAGATATTTGAATGAATCAATTAAAAATTGAATGTCCACATACAATTTTGGTGATATTTAAATAAAAATCAGCTTTAATAAGTGACAACTACATATTATTTTGTCGGCTGCCTAAATCAGGGTTATTTTAAATTCATTTTTACTGAAGCAACAAATACAACAATAATGAGACAGAGTACTACTGAGGTATGCTCGGTTAGCGTCAGAAATAAATTCTTGGTGGGGAGGGAATGGCTCAAGTGGTAGAGTGCATGCTTAGCATGCATGAGGTCCTGGGTTCAACCCCTAGTACCTCCTCCAAAAATAAATAAACAAGTAAACTAACTACCTCCACCAAAGAAAAAAAAATTCTCCACAATGCCCCATCCACAGCCAGCATCGCCATGCATGTACCTGTAACTCACTTAACATCACCCAGCTCACCCCCCGCCATGACACACGACCACTGGCCCAGCGGAGTCAGCGAGGTGTTGCAAGCGTGGGGACAAAGGTCCAGGCTTCCTTAAGTGATGGATACAAAAAAGGCTGTGGTGCTAAAAGCAAATACCGCCTGACACCCTGATGGCCCGGCCCCCTGCATCACTGGGACTGAGGAAGCCACTGTAAGAGAGCGGTGGGCTCTCCCCTCAGCCACGTGGACAAAACCTTCAAACCCGTAACTGGCAACTGTAGGTTAGCAGGTGTAGAGAGAACATTCTTTGACCAAATTGCTCCTGGAAATACTGAAAATGGATACTACTGAGCCAGGGAGTGAAAGATGCTGAAGAAAAGTTTATGAATGTAAAGTGTTTTACCTGATTCAATTTTGTTAAGTATTTTCCTGGCACATTGTACAAAGGCCTCTTCTACATTCTCCCCTGTGAGGGCACTTGTTTCCAAAAACATCAGCTCTAAAATTGACATCAAACAAAACACGAAGCCATATTTAGAAGACAACCACAACTATTCAATTAATAACAGCCTGTTTAGTATTCTCCTGGAATAGCGGGCGAAACAGAATTATTACTTAAAACCATTATTTCTGCAAATATAAAATGAACAAATGTCAAAAATGTTTTTAAATATCAGATGAATTCTAATTTTTTTCTGAAAAGGAACCAGTATCTTGTGCCAGCACTTAAAGCTTTTGAAGAAACTAAGCAGGCAGCAACGCTGAGTAAGGAAGCAAGCTGGCTGAAACCGCCCAGGGGTCGATATGAAATAAAGTAGCAACTTCCTTCTCCAGTCACCTTCACGTCACCACAAATACAACCTACAGGTGCTCACACTTTGGGGGGACTACATGGCCGTGTGGCGTCCTGACAGTGAAGGGATGTTGTATGAACAAACACTCTTCTGACCATCAGGTGGTCACTCACCCGGTACAAAGCCCACTCTCCTTGCTTTTGTGAGCAAACACAAGCTCCCTAGACGCTTGTTTCTTACTTGTAAAGATCAGGTTCATTTAAATGACAGATAAACTCCTTTTGAGCTTCAATATTCTAAGCTTGCATGCTTCTAAATAGCTTCTTTACAAACGTGCTTTTTAAAAATTTACTGGAGTACAGTCAGTTACAATGTGTCAATTTCTGGTGTGCAGCACAATGTCCCAGTCATGCATATATATACATGCATATATTCGTTTCCATAGTCTTTTCCATTAAAGGTTATTACAAGATATTGAATATACTTCCTTGTGCTGTACAGAAGAAATTTGGTTTTTTAAAATCTATTTTTATATATAATGGCTAAAATTTGCAAATCTCAAACTCCCAAGTTTATTCCTTCTCACCCGTTTTCCCTCAGTAACCATAAGATTGTTTACTATGTCTGAGTCTGTTTCTGTACAAACTCATGTTTTTATCCCACGTGTTAATTTTCTTAGCAGAAAACCAGTTAATCTGCAAGAGTATAATTTGGCAGCCCCAGAGTCCAGTTAAAAATTGATATCAGGATATTTTTAGTTCTTGACTGGTTCTAAAGATTAAAGTAATTTTAAAATGTCTGAATTCTTACTCTGCTATCTATAAGCAACTATTAATTTTATGTATCACTCTAATGTATTCCATAGAGAAATTCAGACAAGTTTCAAAGGCAACTATAGCCAAATGACTTAAAATTAATGTAGTAAAATAAAGCCAGTAAGTCCAGTATTTCTTCTACTGCTTCCCTTTCTATTTAGATCTAGTATTTCACCAACTTAGCTTCAAATTACATTTTAAAAAGATGACATTGGGGGGAGGGTACAGCTTAGTGGCAAAGTGCACGTCTAGCATGCACAAGGTCCTGGGCTCGATTCCTAGTATCTCCGTTTAAAAAAATATACAAATAAATAAATATAAAATTACCTTCCCCATTTAAAAAATTAAAAAAGATGACACCATCTGATTAAGGCCTTTGAAAATTACTGTGATAAATTTCCCTTGAAACCAAGACCTGTAACATTCAGAAATCCTGGACTGAAAAGTCATTGCAGAACACTAAGACATCCGCTTTTATCATTATAGTAACTTTTGTAGGCAGAATGCAATACAGCGAAAATATGCTAAATAAGTCTAAATTTACAGTAAGAACAAGAGGAAGTCCCACATTTCCTAAATATAGTTTCATCTTAAAGCTCCAGTAGAGGTAACAGGGGAGAGGTCACTTGCCGTTCTCTTGAGCAAACCTGGAGGCTTCCAAGAAAGTGACTTCCCGATCGGCGTCCAGGTCCTTCTTGTTCCCACAGAGGATGATCACGATGTTCTGACTCGCTAGCATTCTGGCATCTGTTAACCAATTAGTAAGCGCATTGTAGGTTTCTCGGCTGCGTAATATAAGATTGTGGAAATAGTACATGTATTTTATAAAGCTAGCAACTCTTTCCAGGCACTCACAATACTCACACCACTCACACCACTTTCAAACACGTGGGCGACGCCAGCAACCTTGAAGGGAACTCAGACAACCTCCACACCCACACCGTTTGTTTCACTTTGTTTCCAGGAGAACGAGACGGGGAGTCAGACTGCTTGTGGTCTGTTGTTTGCCCAGTCGGGGTAAAAAAGGAAACAGAAATTGCTCCCTTCATTTTACAGTATTTATGGAGCTCTCCGTACGTGCAACGTGGTGAGGGACACCTGAGAGCTCACCCGGCCCCTCAGCGAATCCCCGCAACCTGCTGGTACCTTGTTTCCCAGGAAGTTATCACCTGGATTCTTTGTAAGGGACTCTATGACATAGATTCTGACTATCTCCCTTTTCCATGAGACTCCCGAGCCCCAAAGAAACTAAGTTGCCCAAAGTCACACGTTGGGCCAGTGGCAGAGCCAGGATTTGACCAGGTCCGTCCGCCTTCAGGACCGTTTTCGGCCCTCGTCTATCTAGGGCCAGTTTCCTCTGCCGGCGCACTCTGACGGGGCGGCCTCACACGTGGGCAGGCGGAGCCCCTCACCCCCAGGCAAGGGCGGCAGGGCTGCCTGCCTCCTCGCCAGAGCCCCTCATTCTGAACACAGGCAGGGTGTGTGACAGACACCCTCTCACTGGACAAGCGTCGTCCCAGAAGGAGCCCCCAGATGACACAGTTCAGATGACATGTTTCAGAGGTGGTGCTGGCGAACACTGAGATCAGCACAGACTGATGGGATTCCCTCGAGGACGGGGGCGATCTATGACCTGCACTGTCCAATACAGTGGCCACCAGCCACAGGTGACTTCTGAGCACTGGGAACAGGGCAAGTGAGACCAGGGAGCTGAAAATTTAATTTAATTTAATTTGTGATAGCTGCGGTGATGGCTACACACAGGACAGTGCACTCAGATCCTTCTGTGTGCCAAGAGCTTTATACTAACCAACTTGACCGCCCAGCAGCCTCACGAGTCTCACGCGATAATCATTACTCCACAGACAAGGAAGCTCAAGTCCAGTCAGAGCGCCCTGTCTGAGGACGTCACACAGTGACCAGACGTGACCTAGAGCCTGTGCTTGATGGACGGCAATTACTTCTAATGATTTACCACAAAGGAAAACCCTAAGTTTTTTTGTTTGTTTGTTCTTTGGGGTTTTTTTTGCAAACCTTAAGGAAAGTGTCAAAACATCATGTTAAGAAACAGTGAAACACCACGGATGCTTCATCTACCTAAAACCTTGGGGACATCCTTCTTTACGTGGTAAAGTAGTGGCGGGTTCAAGAATCTCCAAGACTCCCCGTGAAAGGGCTGTGGGGCTCTGGACCCCCAGCCATGCCCGCTGCCCCGCCACCCCCCACTGCTGATGCACAAAGCATCCCCTGCAGGGAGGCGTGGACCCAGGGAGCAGAGGCGGTGCCTCTTCTGGGGGCTCGTTACCTGGTGATGTCATAGACGAGGAGGGCCCCCGCCGCACCTCTGTAGTAACTCCTCGTCACAGACCTGGAAGAGTTACACGCTTTTACTTTCAACCAGCCAGAGCCTGGACTCCTGAGCACCATCTGCTCCTACAAAAGCATGTTTTGCCTTGAAAACCACCATACAGGGGCAGACGCTGCTTTAAAGAGAAATGATTCAGGGTCACCTGAAAGTATGCATGATGAGCTAGTCCACCTGAAATCGTGTCACAGAAACCACAGGGAGGCGGGGACGTCCAGCTGGGACAAGTATGATATTCCCTAAAGGGTGGATGACGCTCTTCCGCAGAACCGAGGGCATCTTTGAGAACTTACAGGGCGGGCAGAGGGAGCCCTCTCAGAAGCTGCGTGGGCCCTGGGCGCTCAGCAGTCCCCCTCTGCTGGCGCGGGGGTCCTGTGTCTTCCCCCCGAGGAGAGGGGACCTCCTCCGGGACTTCACAGCCGCGTTGCCCTGCGCCCCCTTCCTCCCGACCCTCACCTGTTTCTAGAGTGCCCGAATGTATCTTGTCCAGGCCCACAATATCCAGGATTTTTCTTTCAGTAACACATTTTCTCCCCTGCAGCACGAATCCCTCCTTGTTCGTTACATTTTTCCCACTAGCAAAATCAAATTTGCTCCGGCACCTCCCATCTTGAAGAACAAGGTAGGAGGCTTGATCCCCCGCTACTGTTCCGTCGCTTGCTCTTTCTGACACCCAACCTTCCCCAGAGCTGCCTGACCAGTGCCCCTCCCTCCCCACCCACCCCAGCCCCTGCCTCCCTGCTCCTCCCACACAGCTGGCCCAGGTCACGCAGCTCCATGGGTCCAGACCCAGAGCACCTGTCCGCCCGCTCCGCTGCTGCAGCCCCCTCTCTCCTGGCCTCCTCCTCCCTCACCAGCTACGCTGAATCATTCCTCTGAATCTGCCCTGTTGGTACCAGAGTTCCTTCCCCAGGGCTGGGGTCTGGTTCTCTGTTCTACCAACAGTCCTGACTCAGATTTAATCCTCAGCTCAGACCACGTCTGTAAGATCCAACCGCCATTACCCCAGCATCTCCACGTGACCACATGATGAACATCTGTAAGAGAGAACCCTGGTTCCAAGCCTCCAGGTCCCTCCTGGCTGGGGGTGGGGTGAGGGGTGGGGAGGTCCCACCATCCACTCTGTTTATAATCTGTTTATAATCTCTGCTCGGAGCCTCCATGCCTCTTCATGCCCATCTCTATACTGGGTCCATCAGTCCTGACCTGTCTCACCAACTGTTCACGCCCCACAATGTACATGTCTCTCCATCCTCACCAGCACTGTCCTAATCCACGCCACCAACTCTCTGCCTGGACCCCTGCAGGCACCTACAGCTGGTGTCCCCGCTGTCACTTGCGACCTCCAGAGCAACAAAAGTCCTCCTCAAGGTCTACAAGGCTCCTGTGCTCCGGAATGGGGCAATGGTCAGTGACTTAACCGCTTTAATCGATCATGCCTGCAGTCCGAAACCTCCGTAAGAGGCCCCAGGCAGTGGGCTCAGACAGCTTCCGAGTTCATGAGCACAGGGCGGTGCGCCCAGCGCTGGGTCCCCACACCCGTGCCCTCTGCACCTCTTCCATTTGGCCATTTCTGACTTGCACCCTTTATAACAGACTGGTAACACCGAATGCGGTGCTTTCCTGAGCTCTATGAGTAATTCCAGTGAATTCGGGAGCCTGGGGGCAGGGCCGTGGAAACCCTGAATTCACTGACTGCTGGGCAGACGCGAGAGTGACTGGTGTGTGCAGGGCGGACAGTCGGGGGCCTGAGCCCCAAGCCTGCAGCGTGTGGTGCTCGCTCCGGGTACCGTCAGGATCGAAGTGAACTGTCGGTCACAGAGCGATGTGGAAAAAGGCCACTCACCTGGGGTCAGAAAAGAGGCACCACCATCAACTACACTTCAGCAAAAAGTTAAAAAAGAAGAAAAAAAAGAAACAAAAACAGGCACCACAGAAACAAACAGTGCCTACCTCTGGGGAGAAAAGAAAAACGTGGAACTTACAGAAAACAAACAGAATTGCTCATTATTCTTTGATATTTTGAAAAGGGCAGCTATTTTTAAATTTACTTTTTAGCCCTTAAATTTCCCAGGCTCGAAGCGCCCCCCCACCCCCGTCTCCTTACAGATGCTACCGCAGAGGGCAGAGCGGCGGGGTGAGGGGGGCCGGCTGTCAGCTCTCCCCTAGGGAGCCCCCGGGGGCAGGTCTTTTCCACATGTAGTAGGAGGCAACTCTTTGCTATTTTAGCTTCAGCTCCCAGAGAAGGAGCATCAGAGAGGCACCGGCCTGTGGCGCCTGCCCCTGCTGCCTCCCTGACCTGCAGGGCCGGGTCCCAGGGCTGCCTTCTCCCTCTCCGGCTTTCTCCCCTGTGTTGGTGAGGTGTGGCTTCCTGAAGTTTCTAAGAAAGAATACAACAGTTCTCTCCCATTCTTGCATAACTGAAGATATTCTGATTTTTCTTCTCACGCCTAATGGATAGTTCGGCCAAGTTTCCAATTTTAGGCTGGAAAAAAATTTTTTCACGTTGAGGTTTGAAGGCGATGCTTCAATTATCTTCTAGCTTCCAAATGCTGCTGTTGAACAGTCCATGCCTGATCCTTTATGTGTGACTGTTTTGGCCTCTTGGAGTCTTTCTGTATCTTCGCTTCATCCTTAATGCTCTGAAATTTTACACAGCACACCCCTGTCTGGACTTTCTCCCATTCATCGGTATTTGGTGCAAGGTGGGCCAATAAATGTGGAATCTCATTCCTTCAGTGGAAAATTTTCTTTAATTGTTTCTTTTAGTGTTTCCTCTGTTTTCCCTTCTTCGGGAATGCCTAATTAGTCAGGCATTGGACCTCCTGAATTAGTTCTGGATGATTCTTTGTTGTTTCCTCCCCTTCCCATCTCAAGTTTGCTGTTTAACTTTCAGGAAGATCATTACTCTACTTAACATATTATTTGATCGCTCTTTTGTAGTTTTAGTTTTCTCCTATTCCCTGGAAGTTTCTAATTTCTTTATTTTGGGCTCTTTCTTTTATTTCAGAAACTTCCTTCAAGTGTCTGGTGATCCTTGGTTGATCAATTATATTCATGAACAAGGAATGCAAAAGTCTTAAAAAAAAACCCCACCCCTTTATGTGTGGGCTGGAGGCTTTACTGTGAGATGGCTAGACAGAGATTGGGCTATTTCACTGGGGTAACCAAAATATTAGCATCCTTAAGCCTTTCCTTTGGGGCTATTCATCTTTCTGCAGAGAATATATACCTGACTTTAAATGAAATGCCTGCACTGGGATTAAGTTTTACTTAACTGAATTTTGAAATTGTGACTATCTGTTCTGCTTGACTTTGGGTATGTGTTCAAAAAGCACAACTAAAATATTAATCTACTTTCTTGCTTTAGTACTTACAGAATATTAAACATGTAACCTTATCTGCAGTGATCTGGGGCCATCATTGCAAACATCGATGGCGACCATAGTGCAACGAAAGTGTTGAAGAGAGAAGAGAGAATATTTCGTGGAATGTTTTAATGTAAAACAAAACCAATCCCCAAAGAGGTTTTAAAAAATTCTCCTTTTAAAGTAAAATGCAGAGAAGAATTGTTTGTGCTACTATTTTGCTTTGATTTGAATCTAAAAGCCCAGTGTGGAACAGGCATCGCCACACCCTCCTAATGCACTCACTAGTCTCGAAGAATAAATTAGCCTCCAAATTAGGGCACATTCACTTGGAAGAGGTTCTAATGCATTCTTTCATAAATCAGTGCTACATGGAGAAAAACTGACTTCTGCTTGTCTTAAAGCTTCCGGAGGCAAAATTTCTAAAATCTAGGGGAGAGGGTTGGGGAGGACTATATATATTAAGAGAATATAACTGATTATTTCAAACCTGATTTTCAAATATTTTTCTTAACTTAGAGAAAAAGCTACCTGAATCGTTCTTGGCCGGCTGTGTCCCATATCTGTAACTTGACATATTTACCACCAACGTTTATTATCTTTGAACCAAATTCCACTCCTATTGTATGATTTGAGTCATCTTTGACTGAAAAAGAAAAAGAAATTTCATTTTAGAACACTAAGGAAACAGGCTCAGATTTAAACGAGTAACATTAAAATCAAGAGCTAAGTCAATGGAAAATGCAATTTACTTCAGCCATTCATTTCTCCAACAGTCAGATGATAACAAGTACTTGTTCTTTTAAACAGAACACATACAATCCCTGTTCTTAAAGAGATAATAAAAGCTTTCCTCAAAAATCCTAAACAAACCACACATTGTAAAGCCGGGGCGTGGACAAGGCCACGCCACAGGAGATGGTGTCTCCCCGAGCACTGTTAAGGTTCTCATGAATGGTGGCTGCACGGAAGCCTGGGCACCACGTGGAGGCCTCACTGCCCAGGGGCAGACCTGCAACTTGGCCAGTAATGGTTTTAACTATTCGGCCAAATCTCCTAAAGAAATAAAAGTAAAGGGAAGGAAAGGCACTGAAGCCCAAAAAAGAAACAAAGAAACTTAATGGACATCAAAGATTAAGGGGAAACGAGGAAAAGACAGAGTGAGAAACAAAACAAACAAACCCAAAAAACAAAAACTCTATGCATCTACAGCTGCTGGGATTTCATGAATTTTAGCACTGTGTGGCGGTAATCTGGAATGAATCCTCTGGAGAAATCAATACTGTTTGAATGGGCAGGGAGGTGGGCGAAGTAGCCTGCTACACTCAACTGGAATAAGCCGTCTATAAAAAAAAATTTCTGTGATGGATATCATGGGCATATGGTCCACTAGCTGGCTTATATTTTATAACCACAGGATAAAATTTAATTGTACCAGAAGCCAGGGATGCCACTTGATAGCTATGTTTATTGCTGCCTGGGAGCGTGGGGGTCGGGGAGGGGAACAGGGACCCCGGCAGCCTGTCTCACGCCTGGACACTGCAGAACTGGACATCCTGCTAGACCGAGCCACTGCGCACACCTTGGAGTAAAAGCCTTCAGAGGGCCATAGCCAAAGGCCAAGGGCATCCTGACTAGGTCATGGCTACATGAGAAATAAAGTGAAACCTTGTGACATCATTACTGTGACAGTGAGGAGTGATGGGGAGGGCGACCAAGGGGGAGATCCCCCCAGAGGAGGGGGAGAGCAGCAGGCTGGGCGCTTGGGCCACTGTCGTCCGGATGCTCGCTTCTGAGACGGAGCAAGGAACAGCCTTGGTAACCGGCAAAGAAGCCTGGACCACCCGGTGAGTGAAGACGTGTTCAGTTCGGTAAGGACTGGCTCTGTGACTGAGCCATGCTGGGTCCGCGTCGCTATACAGAGGTTCCAGCAAGCTCTTGGTTGATGAAAATGCAATGAGCAAAATGCATTTCTAGAATTTTATTCTTCAAGCTCTTTTCCAAGACACACTATGCTGCCTCTTTTCCCATTTTACCTACCACCTGACACATCTCATACATCTTTAAGATGCACTTCATTTTTTAAAAATTTAAAAAGATTCTGGGGGCGGGGCAGAGGCAGCTGGGTTTACTTGTTTATTTACTTTTGGAGGAGGTACTGGGGATTGATCCCAGGACCCTGCGAATGCTAAGCATGTGCTCTGCCGTTGAGCTACACCCTCCCCCCGAGATGCACTTCATTAAATGAAATTAACTCTGTTTCCGTGCCTTCATCTGACTACCAAACAGACAGGCCATTCTCCACAATTCTTTCCATTATTATAAAAGCACTACTTATTTTAAGGGCCTTTCAAACCTACCATCTTTTACAATAGTTTGGAATATAAAATTCAACCTCCTTTACCAAAAGAGTGTGAGGCAATTGCAAAAGTTATATCCTCTGGTCAAAATGTCTGGGTTTGAGTCTCACCAATTATGAGGTCACCATCAAGAGGTACACACTCACTTCTCTGAACCTCTGTTTCTTTACTTGCAAAATAGAATTGAAGATTACAATTGCCTTAATGACAATACAAGGCTGCCGAGGACAGATGTTATTTCATTCAAAAGGCACAACGAGCCTGCTGGGAAATGAAATTCCACATCATCCCACTGTATTTCAGTATCTGGAAAATGTACAGACGGTACACTATGTAATGAACTATGAACCACTATAAGGCTGAACTGCTAAATAAAAATCAGATTACTAAAAGTTTAATAACAGACTTTAAATGTCATTTAAAAATATTTTTAAACTACGAGTTTTTTCCTGAAAAAACTATTCATAAGTCCGGCTGTAAACAAATCCGAGCAGGAGCGTGCTCTCAGAAGGAGACGTGTGTGAACACAGACCACATGGCGTCACTTACATTTTTTTTCAATAAACTGGTGAAGCAAGCAAGACTTGCCGGTTCCTGCATTGCCAATAACCAAGAATTTAAACAAAAAATCTGAAAGACAAAAAGAGATTGTGAAAAGTAACTTTAAAACAGGTGCTATGAATTTATTCTTAGGCTACAATCATAAAAATGTAATGAAATATTAGTTGCTAATATAACAAAAAAAGAAGTAGCAGTATTTTGTGAAAACAGCAATAAACATATTGACTTACCTTCCCACCTTTTCTGTATCTGGCTTATGTGCTAACTCAGTGCCATTTCAAACTGGGGACAATTTGTTTTGATATTGAAAGTTGGAAAGCTTCTTATAATGACTAAAATCTGTCTCTGTGCTACACTATTCAAAAAAAATACACACACGCAATGAAGAGCGAAAGTCGCCTAGAAATTTCAAGTGTTTTCTGTACAAAAGAAAAAACCTGGTAGACTTTGAGGCTTTGAGAAGTCGCTTTCCTTCTTTTTTTTTATTTTTTAAATTAAACACAGTGTCTACGTTCCGTTTCCCGTGTTCGGACCGTTTCTTGTGGTCCGTT